TGGCCTGAAACGGCCTGCCTGGGTCCCTACCGGACGTCCAGGCCCTCCCTGCTGATGCAGCAGGGAGTGTCCGCTACTGGACGAACACGAACCTGGCCCAAATGGCCCTGACTGCGAGCGAAGAAGGCCCAAAACGTGGCCTTTGGACGAACTGCAAGTCCGAAACGACGCCTGAACAGACAAAAATAGGACAGCAAATAGATAAATAAACAAATGCTGCCTCAATTTGAATCCTGCAGCCCTAAGGTCGGCCGTGGGCCTCCAGGGCGCATGTCTGAATGGCGTGCGACCTGGGGGCCCCAGCAACCGTTTCGAGGGCCCATGTGCAGGCTCAGCATGTACCAGATACCCCACATATGGAAAAATGTTGAAAAGAGGCCTCTGTGAATATTCAGGCCCGCCTTCACTTAGGGCGGAGACAATGCTTGCTGGAGGCCACAGCCAAGATCACTTGCATGTCTGTGAGGGCCCTGTGAGGGCTCAGTCCTCGCACATAGACTAAGAAGATGATATGTTGTCACATATCTATGAACTAAAAGAGTGCATTTTGGGAAACATACGGCAAAAAAAAAAAAAAAAACAAACAAACAAACAAACAAACAAACAAACATGGAGGCACAGTGCCACACTGAAACCATTCATTTTTCTCATTCTTCTTGTAAATCCCCCTTCGCCGTGACTGTCACGTACAAGGCTTCGCCACGTTGATGAAGTTAAGTGCGAGCTGCCCGCATTCCCGTGTGCCACAACGGCCCACTTGGAATGAAGATGCGGCAAAGGCGAGGATAACAAAAGGTTCAAGAATGAGTCTGTCTTTGACAACAGCGAGGACATACATTGTAAGCATGAGAAGATGATATGTGCACAACTGTTTTCCACATCCATAGACTGGGTGCATACAAGAGATTTGAAGATGTCCCATCATGAAACAATATTTAGAACACCTTTAGCTTTCTGTGTGGTGCGCTAAACGTTGCTTGGTAACTTCAACTCTCAAGAGCTCCCATCTCAGAATCTTAACATACTTTCCAGTGACAGTTGATTGGCTTGGCTGGGCACTGGTCACAGTATTGCACTTGATGGAGCAAAGGTGCGGCTATGGCCTTTTGTGCAGACCATTGCCTCACTGTTTCGCAAAACAAACAAGCAAGGGAGCAAAGGCAACAGGCCACCTGACCTGACAGTTGGTTGCCTTTGATTCAAAAAACATCTAAAATTTCTAGATTTATATGGTATGGAAAATTGGAAATTGAATTTCGGCTCGAAGAGCAGACGTTTCGCGTCTGGTAAACAAACGAGGCAACTTGAAGACGACAGCATACTCGATAAATGGACAAGAGTCACAAGGCCATCCTGATTTTTAAATTATGCCACCAAAACGAAATGACGGCCTATGAATAGCGGACAGGGGCAAAGGATAAGAAGAAAGCCACACACCAGCTGGAGGCTTCTGTGAAGGTTCCATTCCCTCTGAATCCCTGACACAGGCTCCTGGTAATACAGTCTGAAACAGCAAACACACACATGGTATATTAGGGCTCTCTCTCTTTCTCTCTCTCTCTCTCTTGCGCGTGCGCGCACACACACACATAGCTACACACGAAAACATGCGCACAGACACCTACACACACACACACACACACACACACACACACACACACACACACATGTGCTGCAGTATTGATAGCGCTCCGCCTTGGTGAACTGAGCGGCTACGATCAGCCCCGTACTAGCAGGCTGTTCTTTTCGGACTTTTTGGAAGAACAACAACATATTGGTTCCGTCCTCGTTCCGTTCAGCGGAGAGCGAGAATCGGGTTTCCTTTTCAAAGATTTGCGTCTTTCTCGATTTATGTGAGTCATCCTTGTGAAGAGGCCATGCTAATCTTCTTTCTCTGTATCGTTCCTATTTTAACAGATGTCCCGAAGGACAATGAAAGTCTGGTTTCCTTTCCTCCAGCAGGTCACAAAACAGAATACAAAGACGTCAACTCAAACGCTCCCCTCTGTTCCGTCTGAGGCAACCCAGACTGGCAGCATGGATTGCTCCTCCACAGGGGAGGATTAACTACCACTCCCACCCCTGTAAAAAAAGAACCTATCTTTTTTTGTCCACTGACCTGCATAGCTTTTTGGACTATTTTAGTATTTTGATCTCCTTGGTTCCTTTCTATCTAACGGTTCTAACCAATACCAGAGGCCCAGTGTAACCTTTTTTTCTTTTTTTTTTTTAACCATGCTACCACGCTAGGGGGAGTGATATGAGCATCTGAGCCTTCAAAGAGTCAAGGTGGTTGACGTTGGGTCATCTGCTTCGTCCTCTCCTTGCATGCTTTCCTGTGAAAGACGTAACAACACAGGTACTGTCGTTCTCCTGAGAACGAACTTTTCCAATACAAAGCCCAGAACGTTCCCTGATGCTTCGAACCAAGGATCCCACAGCTTGAAAAGAAAAGCGGAAAAAAAAGAAAAAAAAAAGATTCCAGTGCTTCGCTTTCCAAGACATTGTTGTGTCCCAGACTCTCAGGTCAGCTCTTCTTTTTCTTTTTTTTTCTTTTTTTAACACGACACAAAGCCCCTTCTGTTCTGGGGGCATCAGTCCGGTTGATTATTACCGGCAAGCAAGGAGGCACAGGTGGTAAAGAGAAAGCAAGGAACAGCCTTTCCCTTGTGGCACTAGACGTCTTTCTTTTTCTAGGATGGCTATTTTTTCAGTATTTTGCCTCCGCCTAAGAACGAGCTCATGAATCCTGTGGGAAGGGAAGTTCCTCCGCTTTCTTCAAAGGTCTTTCTATTTCCCGTTGACAACAACGCCATTCTGTTGGTCTCTCAACCAGTTCTAATAACTCCAACAGCATCGCACAAGCATACAACATAGTCGAAAGGCAACAACAACAGCGACAGGTCCCGGGATCAAATCACGGCAGGCTTGGGAAGGTGAATCCTTTCAGTATCTATCTTTGTACAGTACAGCCTTGTACGGGCAGGATGAGGAAAAGGACCCAAGATTCCCCACTCGCCTGGGTATAAAAAGTACGCGAGGAGTTCGACTCTAGAAGTTTCTCTTCAACAGCTTTCTGTACACTCTCTGTCAAGCTCTCTTGGTTCAAAAAGCTCACCTGAAGGACAAAAACTCCATCCACAAGAATCAGGCATACCAACAGCTAGTATACTTTAGTACCTGAAAGGTCCAAAGTTTCCAAACAGTACAAATTTCAAGAGCACAGCTGCATTGTAACAAAAAGAAGAAAAAAGGGAAAAGGGAAATTTTCAAACAGGAATGCCTATCTAAGTTGTGCAATGCATCTTCCATGCATAGCAATGCATGCATAGATTGAGTTGGCGTCTTCCCCAGAACATAACGCTTGTCGAGGGCCATCTCCAAGATCCTCCTTCATTCAAGTTAAGTGGAAAAAAGAAATCAAAAGAAGTCAAGATACACCCCGGTACACCCTTCTAAACCCATTTATAGACCCCAAACCCCACCTCAATGTCCCTTCCTCAAATTGGAAAGACAAGGTCGGATTCTCCACTGCTTAGGCAGTCTGCTTTTTTTTCCCCAATTCGTGCCCCATTTTGGACCCCGTCGGTTCACCCAGGTTAACCCAGTCTTGTCCACTCGATCGGAGCCAGCCAGGCCTCGCCAGGCCCAGGCCAGGTGGCCTGGCCGGACGATCTAGGGAATAATGAATGGGTAATTGACACCAATCGTCGTTTAAATTCACACTCACGCCAGGCATTTGCTTGTCGCCTCCTCGCGATTGGTTACTAATCACATCCTACAGAAAGCAGCCAAGTACACAGGCAAGAAGAGCAGAGCTGAAGCAGGCAAGCACACAGGCAAGAAGAGCAGAGCTGAGTCAGCTGACCTCTCTTTTAGTTGGATGAACGTTCACATCGACATCCTCTGGAGGCATCAAAATAGACATGTACAAAAATGGCTTCGACGCCTTTGGTAGAATCGCAGCATATACTGCCTCACAGGCCTTCTTCAGTGCCGAACATTCTACAAGCCTTTCTGCATCTCAAACACAGCACAGAATCAGAAAAGTAAAACGTGTCATGAGAAACGATTTCAAGCGAACAATGTGGACATTGTGAAGTTATAATAGAATATAAGGAATTTGGTCTATAGCTGTTATAAAAGAATATAAGGAATTCGGTCTATAGCTGTGCAGGGAAAATGAACGATAGCGAAATAACAGAAATCCAGAATGCAAAATCACATTGAAAGCCGGAAAGTCCATCGCTGTCCAGAAAGCAGAAATCCACCGATATATCACCAACGGAGAACCAAAGCACTGAATCGGAATGTCAATAAGAGCATACTCTCGCCACCACCAACATATGTATCCAGAGCCCTTCCTCCTACTTGGCGCTCAGCACCCAGACTACAATCACGCAGCTACTACCAGCCTAYGAATTGACAGTGCAACCTGTTGACGTCACCAGCAGAACCAAAGTACATGAAGATGTCGACCCTTGTAGACCATTGCCAAGACCAGGTACGTGCCCTCACATCATCATCCTCATCTCCCTTTCTCTCTCACCCTCGACTTCTACACCCACGTCCTCTTCCTCATACACGAAGACACCACCACCTCCCATTGGCTATCCAAGCCCAAGCCCGGCTACATGGGCTGGGCTATGGTGCTGCCCTCAGCAGCGCCCTGCCTCTCGCATGACCGCACAAGCGCACTTCTGCACTGGCGCTAGCAGCAGCACGCGAGCGCTCACTCCAGCACCGCCGCCGCCCGCTCTACCAAGTGCCCGATCCCCCTGCGGGAGCCCGACCCTTTCCTATATAGAAAGTGGCGGGCGCATCCCACTTGCTTGCCCCATGAGACCGAGTTTCCAGTAGCTTTGGTCTCGGCCAAAGTGTCTGCGCCCAGGCCCGTTCAGACAGTGGCCTGGGACTGATTTGGTTAGGCATGCCCAACCACCCAGGCACAACGTGCGGTGTTCCCTGTTTCAACCACCTTGCTGGAAGAGCCTGGAAGGCTCACAAATATTTCCAATTCTCACAAGCAAAGCGGATGTAACGAACTGGCGCGTGGCAACTGTCTGGCGCCCACCAAGATTTGCAAAAATTGAAGAGTCCAGGGCACATTGAGATTCAGGGGGCCCGCCTTCACTTAGGGCCGGCACGCACCTGCTGGAGGGGCCTTATGACGAGGGGTAAGCCCTCGCAGCTGAGTAATTCACACCTACACACGATTTGATGATAAAATTGACAACCCAAACATTTTGCTCAAAGTTCAAAGGTCAAAATTCAAAGTTCAACACCCTGAAGTGAAAAAAATATATAAATATAATTATATTATTATAATTAATTTAAAATAAAAACTAGGCTACCAGCCGGGCGGCCTGGCTGTGCAAGGACCAGGGAGGGTCCCAG